CAGTTTATATACTGTCTATTAGATATAATAACAATAACAATTAGTCTCCTTCCCATTCCAAACACCAGTGGCTAACAGTTATTTAGTTCCACCCAGATGCTCCTTATCTCAAGGTCCCTACCAGAGTCAGCGTTCTATCCTTATCTCCATATGGAGGCGAGAGGCGAAGGCAGCGTCTAATTACAGATCTCGCGTTGTCAGGCCACAGACTTAGCCTGACTCTTGCTCTCTTGTTAACAAGATCAAGATGGCTGCACACAAATTCCCTTATTCCCTTTTCCTGCCTCCACACTAGCATGCTGTGTAACAGCATAGTGGTTCACAAAGGTGTGCACAGACAACTAGGTAGCTGCCCTGCAAATCTCTACGATGGGCACCTGGGCCACAAAGGACATGGAAGATGCTTGGCTCCCGTGGAATGAACCATAATGGGTGGAGCCGGAGCTTGAGCCAGCTCGTAGCACTCTTTGATACAAGCCGTGATCCAGGATGAGATACCCTGGGCCGTCGCAGGGTGGCCCTTCATCCTGTCCACTATAGACACAAACAATTGAGGGGACTTACAGAAGGGCCTGGTCCTTTCTAAATAAAAAGCTAAAGCACGTCTCACATCAAGTGAGTGTAAACTCTGCTCTGTCTCAGAGCTATGGGTCTTTGGGTAAAAAACAGAAAGAAAAATATCCTGGTGAATATGGATCTAAGACACTACCTTAGGCAAAAAGGCAGAGTGGGGGCACAGCCTGACCTTATCCTTAAAAAAGGCTGTGTACAGAGGGTTCACCAACAGGGCCCTCATTTCCGACACTTGCCTGGCCAAAGTAACGGCCACCAGGAAGAACACTTTCCAGGAAAGGTGCAGAAGGGAGCATGTCGCCAATGGCTCAAAGAGGGGACTCATAAGCTTTGTGAGAACCAGATTTAGATCCCAAGAGGGCAAGGGCTCACACACCTGAGGGTAGTTCCTATCCAACCCCTTAAGAGAACAGTGCACCATGGGATCTGAGAAAACTGTCCTGGCACCTGAGTCCAAATGAAAGGCCGAAATGATTGTATTTGTATAGAGGAAGGTGCCAGGCCTGGACGCCTGAGCCCCAGGAGGTAATTCAAGATATCAGATGGAGGGGCCTCCATAGGGGATAATCCCGTCACCTGACCAGAGAACAAAGTGTTTCCACTTCACAAGATAGGAGGACCTAGTGGAAGGCTTACAGCTTTCCAAGAGAACTGCCTGGACCTGCTCCGAACACTGCCTGTCCATGGCCATCAGCGATGGAGCTTCCAAACCATGAGGTACAGGGAGCGGCCTGCCAAACTCCTGAGAGATTAGGTCCAGGCACAGGGGAAGTGCTAGAGGCCATTCCATTGAGAGTGCGAGAAGGTCCAGGAACCAATGCTGACGAGGCCACGCCGGGACTATCAGGATTATGGAAGCCTTAAATTCCCTGACCCTGAGGATCACCCCGTGGATCAGCGGGAAGAGGGGAAAGGCATACACTAGACCCTGAGGCCAAGGGATCACGAGAGCATCCCCCAGAGACCCTGGGCTGTGGTTGAATAGGGAGCAAAAACGAGGGCATTTCCTGTTGCTGCGGGTCACGAACAGGCCCAGGTGGGGACATCCATGGAAAATGGACAGGGTGATATCCACCCTGAGACACCACTGGTGCCACTCAAAGGATCTGCTGAGGTAATCTGCCAACCCATTCTGGGCCCCAGGAAAGTAAGCGGCTGCTGGGTGGATGTCATGAGCCATGCAGAACTCCCAGAGAAGGAGAGCCTCACTGCATAGGGGACAGAAGCGAGCACCATCCTGTCTGTTTATATAAAACATCACAACCGTGTTGTTGGTTAAAATAGAAATGTGCCTGTTTCAAAGCTGCAGCAGGAACACACCACAGGTGAGGCGAATAGCTCTCAACTCCCTGACATTGATACAAAGGGAGAGGTCTGTGGGGCCCCGACGCATCCAAAGCTTCCCGAGGTGGGATCCCGAACTTGTATTGTAAGTGTCCGTCACCAGCTGAATGGACGGGGAAGAGCTGAGAAACAGCATCTCTTCACAGATCACATCCTCGCATAGCCACCAGTCAAGGGATTTCAACAAATCTCCAGGCACCGTCACCACTGTGTCCATATGCTGGAATGCCGGGTTGTGGATCAATGCCAACCATAGCTGAAGCGGCTACAGTCTAAGCCTGGCATGTCGTACCACATAAGTGCAGGCTGCCATAAGTCTCAGCAGTCTCATGCAACAGTGGGCCGTCATTGTGGGGGCTCCTTTAGTGTTATGAAGCACCCTATGGGCAGGGAGACACTGCCCCTTGCTGCATCCAAGAAAGCTCCCACAAATTCTATTGTTTGAGTGGGGACCATGCTGGATTTGGCCTCATTTAGTATAAGACCCAGCCTGAGGAAAGTCTCCCTTACAAGGGATATGTAACTGATCACCTGGGACGGGGGAGAGGGGGAACCTCCTCCTTTAGTGTTATGAAGCACCCTATGGGCAGGGAGACACTGCCCCTTGCTGCATCCAAGAAAGCTCCCACAAATTCTATTGTTTGAGTGGGGACCATGCTGGATTTGGCCTCATTTAGTATAAGACCCAGCCTGAGGAAAGTCTCCCTTACAAGGGATATGTAACTGATCACCTGGGACGGGGGAGAGGGGGAACCTCTTACGAGCCAATCATTCAGGTATAGATGAATCTGGACCTGCTGCTTCCTCAGGAAAGAGGCCACTACTGCCACGCACTGTGTAAAAAC